TTTTTACATGTGTATTTAGGGGACACAAATATTGAAGTGTGAGCACATGGATTTCCTAACCATCAGCAGTCATCAACATGGGAACAATCAACAAAAAAAGTGTTAATTGATTTCAGTACACATTTACTGAGTATCTATCATGCATCAGCCATTCTACAAGGAGAGTGAAAAAGATTAGACATCATCCCTGTCTTCACTGAGCTTGATCTAATGGAAAAGACAGTCCACAAACCACTGACAGACCACACGTGGTCTGATGACAGTAGAGACTTCTACAAAGTACTTCGGGTGAATACAGTACTTCACAGTGTGCCTAACTGACTTCGTGGATGACAGGGTTTGATCAAGAAAGTGCATCACAAGTGGTATTTAAATGGAGCTATGAAGAATAAGGAAAAGTCTTCCAGGCAGGTAACTGGGAGGAACAAAAAGTACTATAGAAAAGGATGACTTTTTTATTCTCACTAGCACAGAAGACAGTTGCCATTGAGAGGACATTCAAAGGCTAAAGTTGATGGCTGGGCATGGTGGCGCATGCCTGTAATCCCAGCACTAGGAGGCCGAGGCAGGAGGATCTTTGCAAGTTCAAGGTCAGCTTGGGCTACAAAGTGAGCTCAAGGCCAGCCTGAACTGCATAGTGAGACCCTGTCTCAAAAAGAAAAAAAAAAAAAAAAAAACCCAAAACCAATCCAAAACAAAACAAACAAAAAACAAAGGCTAATGTTGGATTGAGAACATGGTGGGGATTAGACTGGACATGGAAGCAGAGTTTGGAGCACTTTTTCTGGTGGTCAATATAGTCAGAGGCTTGGTCTAATCAGGGCAGTGATGTGCTCAGATTTGATTTGTATAAACCTCTCCTAATGGACAGATTTTAGAGGAGTACATGAGAGTGAAACACCAGTTAGAGTGGCATCTTAATAGGTTCAGTGAAATATGGCTGAAGTAGGAACTGAGGCTGTGCAAGGGAGATATAGAAACTAAATTTTTAAAAAATGAAGTAGGATGTGAAGGCACTTTTGACCAACTGCATGTGGATGCTGAACAAAAAGAAAAAAAAAATCTAACATTATCTCTGAATCTGTAAGTTTTCATTAAAAGTGTAAAACAGAGAGACAAAGAGGATTAGACAGGGGGCAAATGGATTTAAAGGTGGGTGTGCTTTAGTAACAGACATGATAAATTTAGGGTAGGGGAGGGACAGTCAGATAATACAGCCTAGATCATTTCAGATGGGGGTTTAGAACACAGACATGGATTTGGGATGGAGATACACTTTGAAGTTTCAATATGGGCAGTGTGATATTTGGAGAGGAGATGAGGATGCTAAGAGCAGAAGGTAGGGTGGAATAAATACTGAAGAGTAATGGGATCATCCGGGAAACCCAGACTTAAAGCAGTAATCAGGGAGAGAGGAGTCATGGAAAAGACTAAGAAAGGACAGAAAGGAGGAAAGATGTGAGGAGGTGCTGATGTCCATGAAGCTAAACAAAGCAGGATGTGGTGATTGAGCTGTGTCAACTTCATTGTCTGGGAGTTGGCAATAGGGGTCCATGAAGCACACTTCCAGCTGTGCCTCGGTGGTCGTGGAGGCACACCCTTCAGCACTGTATCTGGCTTCTCCTCCACCCCCCCCCCCGGCACTGTTCCTCTGCTGTCCTTCCTAGCTGCCATGAACTAAGCAGATTTGCTCTGTGACTCCCTTCCACCATGGTGCCTCTTCCTTGAATCCAGCTAGTTAACCATGAACTGAGTCCCCTGAAAATCTGACACAGATTGAACCTCTCCTTTAATTGTCAGTGTCAGGTATTGTGTCTCAGTGACAGGAAAGCTGTCTCACACCAAGAAGCTGAAAGAGTATGTGCAAATGATGGAGACCCTCCCACACTGAACACACCCACTGAGTCCAACCGCTAGGAGGTCATGGGTGACCTTTCCCACAGGTTTTTCAGTGGAATGGCAAAGCCAAAAGGCCAGTTTCAGAGGCGGGAGAGCAAATATACAGAGCTCACAAGTTTGTACCTTTTATTTTTCCCAGAAAAGTTGTTTTAAATAAAGGAATAAGATTTGGAGTGGGGAAGATGTTTCAGCATATTTACAGGTTGAAGAGAAAGAAGGAAATACTTAGAGGTTTTAGAGAAAAGAGACTTAACAGAACAACGTCTTATAGATGCAAGATGCTTAGCTAAATAGGATTGACTTTCTTCCATTATCCTGTCGCGTGGAGGGACTGTGGGGCCTGGGGTGGCACCAGCCCACACTGAAGGGCCGTGCTGTGGCTTCTTGTCCCCCATGATCATCTGGGAGGGGGAAATCCAGGGGTACAAACCCTTCCAAGGAAGCATGGGTGTTAGTGCACAAGGCAACTGAGTGTTACAATACCTTGTGAATGAACAGATTCCGATTTGTGCGGGTTACTTTGTGCGTATCTATCCTTTTCTCACAGAATAAAACCTTGCCAGGTGGTTGGAGAAAGGTCACAGGCTCTGTGGGGCTGACCTGGTTAGACAAGCAGTCAATATTTTTGATATTTATCAAAACCAAAGCTGAACTTCCAACCTGGAATGTAGCCCAGCTACACATCCTCTCTGGCTTATGCTTTTTCCAATAGAGAAGCAAGTCAAGATCAGATGGGTGGCAGATACCCGGCCATATGCATATTTATAGTATTGCAAACTTGCCATTCAGCTGACTAAGCCAAATTAAGCATATAAGAAATGAAAAGTTTAGATGGAAGCTGATGTTTTCAGGATTCCAGGATGTGAGTTGCCAGATCCGTGTGCTAACTTAATGAGGGAGAGCAGCTCGTGTTTCAGAAAGGGGTGCAGCCTCACTGTCCTGATGAAAGCACTGATCCCTTTTGTGAGTCTGTGCCCCTCTGCCCCTCCCTGCCAACAACTCAACACTCTGCTCACTTCTTATAAAAACGCATTCATGGTTTAGTAGTCTTTTTTGCAAACCACAGTGATTGCTCTCTGCAAATGCATTGCTTACAAATTCCCTTTAATGCGACCCTTTGTTCCTTTCTGTTCGTGTCCTCTTTTGCTCTGTTGTCTTTTCGTTCTGAATACTCCTCAGTCTTAGACACCTCAGTAATTACCTTTTCTAACATCTTTCTTTCTAATGAAAAAAAAAAACTAATTTTCCTACCTTCTCTTCACAGTTAGAAACACTGCTGCCGTTTATCATGTTGTTGCCATTTCTGTACCTTTCCAAGTCTTTGATATTTTTTCGTATAGTAAGATGCTGGAAACTTGGACCAGCATTTCAATTTCTCTCAGATCTCTGCATTATGGAATTTTGTGTGTCAATCTTGCAGATGAGATTGAAGCAATGATTTCAAACATCTGCTCTTTCTGGGCTGTGATTCTCTCCTTTGGTAAGATATCCTTAACTGTGAGCACTATAAGTTCCACTCTACAGCACTGCACACTTTTGCTTCTTGAGCTATGTTGTCATGCTTTGGGGTCAAACTCACACGGGACACCCCTTAGTCTCACTTGTAGAATGCTTGGTCCACTAGGTGTCCCATCTTGCTATAGTTGGGATGTCCCAAGACCCACACATTAAATGCTTCATCTTCATCTTGGCACCACTGTTAGGCAGTAGAATCTTTGTAAGATGGGAAGGACAGGGAGTCTCAGGTCCCTGGAGGCAGCCTTCAAAGGGGACAGTGGGGTGCTAGTTTCTTCCTCTTTTTCTTTGCTTCCAGGTCACTTTGAGGTGAGCACTTAGCCCTATCACACATTCTCCACTATGATGCTCTGCTTGACCACAGGCCTCCAAGCAATGACACCCAGTGACCAGGAACTGAATTTTCCCAAACTGTGAGCCTCTTCTCTTTCTAAATTGAGGAGTATGTTCATTTGTTTCTTTCTTACATAGGAATTTCTCTATCTTAGGTCGCAGCCTGAACATAAAAGAGGAATTCACTTAGTAAGGTGTGAAGAAAGGAAAAATGCTGAAGGTCTTCCAAAGAGAATCCATTACACCAAGAGTTTTCAAATGAAACGCTGTGTATTTTAATCTGCTCCCCTTTACTCACTGAGTGTAAAGCTTCTGTCTAATCTTGTTCCCTCTACCCTTAACTCACAGTCACCAAAGCCAATGCCTGGCAGCAATCTGGCAGAGCTAGAGGCCTCTTTTTCCCCTGTGTCACATCACAGTGCCCCTAAAGTGAGACACTTACACTTGGTAAAACACTACATGCTTTAGTATACTTTCTGTTGCTTGTAACAAAAAACGGCTGCCTAGATAAATTATAAAGAAAATAAGTTTATTTTGAGCATGATTCTGATCCAAAGACAAAGGACAACAACATCTGGCATGCAGCCACCTGGTGATGTCCTTGGTGGCAGAGCTTTGAGGGGGTGCAGGGCATCAAATGTCATGAGGTGGTGCAGGTCATCAAATGGTAAGAGACAGGAGAAGGCACAGACCCAGCCCAACCAGATTTGTAGCATACCTATTCCTGAGATAGCTCATTAGCCTGCTAACACGAATCTCTGAGTAGCATGAATGACTCAACCATTCATAAGGGCAGATCTTCAGTCTCCTCTTGAAGGTCTCCTCTGGTTCTATCTCTTCAGGTCTCCTAATGAGGATTAAATGTCAACATGAACTTCAGCAGGGGCAAATTCTATTCAACCCAGAGTACTAAGGAAGTTCTCTGGCCTGTGACAGAACTTCCATACTTTCTTTGCCTGAACACAGTGGTCAGCCCCTAACCAGATGTATTTCCTGTGAATAGGGCCACGCATTGCACGTCCTCCCTGAAGCTTGCCACTTGCACATTTGGTGAAACCAAGCTCCTCGGGAGACAGCAGCTTTTTGCTTTTGTCTCGTTTGAGTGAGACGGGGAAGGAAGGAGGTCCAACAAAGGAATATTCTGGGAAGGAAGTCTATTCCCTAATAGTTCCAGTTTATATATAGAGCCCCAAGCACCTCATGAATTTTAAACAGAATTTAATTTGGAAGTATGTACATATTTTATCTTCCAGAGATATGGTGATATCATTATGCAAAAACCCAAATAAAAGACACTTCGGAGGCAGTAGCTACAGCCATGTTCTGAAGCGGTGTCTTCATGCTGCAGACCAAGTGCTCGCAGAGGTGGACAGGGACACCAGGCTGGAGGCCAGCAGAGAAAGCAATCTGCGTTTTACCTGGGGTCAGCGAAGGGTGGCTGTGTTAATGTGCAGGAGAAGGAAATGTGGCAGGAAGTGAGGGAACGCTGACAGCCCACTGTGGTGTGAGATGAGGAGGAGACATGTCCTGTTACTCAGACCCCTGAGAGGACCGAAAAGAGACAAGAGGGAACCCATAGTGCCAGCCACAGGGGACACAGAGGCATAGCATCTACAGATGGTATCACCCAGGCTGCGGTCACTCCACACCCATGCTCGTGGCAGAGATGAGGGTTGGTGACAAAAGTATCAGCTACAGCCTCATACGTGAGAGGAAACAAAGAGGTGCAGTCGAGCCACTGCCTACTAGTTCCCTTCATTGGTGCCAAGGGAATAACATTGCTTGTATGGTTCTGCACAGAACCTTAATCTCATTTGGGCCACTTAAATGAACACTTCTTTGGCTCTTTCTCATATCAGGCTTGCTGCCAGACGCTGGACATACAAAGAAGAAGCTCACAGTTCCTGCCTTTGAGTTGTGTCCTGCAATGTTTTGCTGATGTGAGGAAATGACATTTTACTTCACAAGGTGATATAAAAGCTCTCACACAAACAGATTCTGACTAATTAAAGCGACAAGTTTATACAAGCTGCAAGTGGGGTGCCATATGTCCTATTCCCTGTCCCAATGTCACAGATGGTAATGACCCCCACCCCCATGATGCATGACCCCCGCAGCATGCACACTGTGTATCTCCTTAAAGAGTGTGTAACTGCATTCCATATGACAGGAGGAAGGTGTAAGGCTGTGTGACTTAAAGCTCTCCCTGACTTATTTGTGCCCAAGAAGCATTCAAGTTCAAAGGATTTAGAGACAGAAAAATTAAAACTAGCAGTATCAACAGAGAGTGTACATTGTGGCACAGACTGATAGAAATAAAACAGTCATAGAGAAGGTGAACATCTCTCTTTAAATAATGAGATGTTTTTGATGCTTTCAAACATCGTCCCTCACTTCGGTGGCAAGGAAATACTTTTTGGCAGTTTTTCTTTTTCCCCAAAGAGAAAGGAACACACCCAAGGACACAGAGCTCTGTATAGGAGCCAAGGTTGGAGCTTGGATATTTTTGGCTCCTAATTCTCTGCTAAGTCCATTAGACTATGTCTCCTTTTACTTCTATTATTTGATTTTCTGCTCTCTGTGTGTTTACATTCTCAAAGTGATAAAATACATTTTTGTTCTCATGTTACTAATGCGGTAGAGGTATTTTTCAATTTTCCCAAACTACAACACTCTAAACATGGCAAATAACTGCTTTCAACAAAATGTTTTCAAGGCACACCTTCAAATGGGAGTTAAAAATAGGAACGCAAACTCTAATAACAGGATTGATAAAAGAAACTGTGGCTTCAAAAATGGGAAATTCAATTATGAAAAATGACGAAAGTATTTGAGGAAAATACTCCAGAGTGTATGAGTACTAATGGAAAATTTAGTTTCATGGCATTATTACAAATTAGATATAGTTTCCCTCCAAATAGTTACTTATGGGTCAGTTAAGAAAATGAAGGAATAGTTCTCAGATGGTTCTTTCTCATTTTTGGGTTTTTTTGTTTGTTTGTTTGTTTTCCCGGTACCAGGAATTGAACTCACGACCTCCTGCTTGCCAGGCAGGAGCTGTGCCGCTGAGCTAAATCGCCAGCCCCTCATTTTTAATGACTCTGGAGGTGACATCCTGACATTTAAATTGTTTTGATATTTGTCAACAATGAAAAACAAGACTACTAAGAATTTGCTCACTGGACCCGGCCCAAGGAGTGTCTTACTGTTCCAACATGCACGCCATTCATAGTCCATCTCCAGTTCATGCTTCACTGACAGTGCATCAATATCATGTAATAGCCAAATATTTACGTCTTGGATAAAGGCAATATTCCATGCAGATGCTTTATTTTTTATGTATTCTTACTCAAGAGAGCTTACAGCACACACATCAGACTGCCCATTAATTTTCACAGCATCTCAGTGAGACAGAGAGCAAAAACTATTCTGTTCATTGTTTGCGGCTATCAACCTTTTTAGGTAGTGTAATCTTAAGGTACTCTATAAAACTTAACACAATTTTTGTGTCTGCTTGTATCCTAGTAAGGTCAGGTGTCAAAACCATGTATAGCAATGAAGAGTCCAGGGCCCTCCAGAGAAAAAGATCCTATCATTTGGGAAGGAGAGTGAAGAGGAGGAGAAAGGGCTTGCTCTTACTTCTAAGAGAATGAGCAAAGAATGCTGATTCACTGTACCCAAGTTTAGTAGTAACTAGGTGAGGAAGGTGGGCTTTGTTTCCCACTCATGAAGCTCAGACCTATTAGCAGACACTTTCACTTTACCTGGTAGCCTTTGCATGTCTGCTCCACTCCCCAGTACCCTATCTGCACTCATTTCTTCTCACATCTCTTCTCTCTCTGTCCAGGCCCGTCCACCTGATTTACTGTAGAGCTAGGGAAGGAACACAGTTGTGGACCTACTCGCCTTATGTATAAATACATGAAATAGTAAGCTAAGAGACAAACTGTTGAATATACTGTTCAGTCTTCTTCCATTGACAAATATGCCTCTATAGTAGCCTGCAAGGCCAGATTCAAACAGAATTCCCGTAGTAGGCAAAATTCTAAAAGGAGATCTTATTAGAGGCTGAACTGTGTTCTCAGCTGGATAGGTTGGTCCTCACCCTCCGTACCTCAGAGTATGATCTGGAGGTAGGCCATGCGTCAGATTTCTGTTATTATAACAAAGTCCTTGAGATAGTCAGTATATAAAGAAAACAGTTATTTTGTCTCACAATTTTGTAGGTTCCAGTCCTTGACCCTTTAGCTCAGTGTTCTGGGGCTACGCAGAGAATACCGAGGTGACAGCATGACAGGGCTAACTGTGCTTCTCAAAAGGGAAGTAGCAAAGAGAACAAAGACCAAGCAGGTCCTGCTCCCCTTCCAGGCACCTCTCATGACCTAAAGGCTCTCATTAAACCCTGCCTAAGGGCACTCCCACTTCCCAGTAGCACCATCCTGTAACATACAGAGCACTGGGAACACTTCCAGAAGTAGTTAAAATGAGTTCTTATGTGGAACCCTAACTGAATATCCTGGTGTTCTTACAAGAACAAGAGGTTGCCCTTTTAGGTGTCTTCCTGAAAGAGTTAAATGCATCATATTACAGTGATCCATGCATACCTGTGTTTACAGCTGCACAAGTCATAACAGCTACATTTTAAAAGCAGCCCATATGTCCAGTGTGGTAAGGCCTTGAGAGCTTGTTTGGAGGTTCTAGTAGGGGAGCGCAGCTGCTCCTACACCCTTGACCAAAGGGGTTGTGGTTCTCTTCAACTGAGCATGCAGCTTTGGGAGCGACGCACATGGAGCGTTGAGGGAGGAAGGGGACACCGCCTAGCCAGCCAGATCAGCCGAATCAACCCTGGCGATCAATGGGGTGACAGATGTTGCAACCAGACTGCCCTCACATCCTGTGGTGAAATAACATTAACACCCAGCTGAACTAAATCAGCGTGGTGCTGCACATGAAAAGACCTGAGGATCGCGGTCAATAGCATAAAGGCAGAACTGGAAAGGAAGCTGCTGTGCTGCTGATTCTCCTGAAGAAGCTTGTCACACTGGTTTTTCTGATATGAACTCGGCTGTTCTCATTGGAGGGTCCTTCCTGTCACTGAGGATGGCTGTGGTTCTCTTTGAGGGAGCTCTGGCCTTACCTTTAGCATCACTTCCTGGTTCTAGGGCAGATCCCTCAGCATGTTGGCACAGATCCTTCATCCCACTGGCACAGACTTTCTGGCTTCCACTGTTGACCTTTGGCCCATCTCAGTGCAGATCCTTGGTACAGACTTGCATGAGATATTATCATGGGCTCTAGGTCTTCAACTGGACTCATGGGGGGCACTGCCATGGGATCCAGGCCCTCAGCTGGATTCTTTGGATCTCTAGTTCATGGACAGATCTCCTGCACTCGTCTGCATTTGACTTTCTGGGTGACTATTACAAAAATAATTCTATAAATTATGTGCCTTGAATGAAACCTATTCCCTTACAAACCCTGATTACAACATCCACCATCAGATGAAGGGATAAAGAAAATGTGGTATTTACACACCATGGAGTACTCCTCTGCCATAAAGAAGGGTAAACTTGAATCATTTGTAGGAAGACAGATTTTTCTTGACACTAAAATGTTGAGTGAAATAGATCAGATGCACAAGCTTAAATATGGCATGGTTTTTCTTATATGAAAATACCAAAGCATAAATAATTAAACCACAAATAAGTTTAGACAATAAGAAAAGAGAGCTATATCTTTTTCAAATAGGAAGGGGACCAAGATATCCAGGGAGGAAGTGGGAAGGGAGGAGAAAGTCCATGGACTCCAGAATTGTGAGAAGAGTTAATCTGTTATTTAAAGTGCTGGTTCTGATCCTTCACTAACACAGCGTGGACAAATGGATGCAGCTGTCAGTGCCTGCCATGACCTCAAATACCTGTAAGTAGGATGAGTTAGCATGGACCTGATTATTTTGCATAGTGCAGCTTATTTTAAAATACTAACATGATTTTGGGTTCCCTTCTATTATGGTTTGTGTCTAGATGTCCTCCCAAAAGTCTCATGGAGTCATGGGTGGGATTCTAGAGTTTTTGATTGATCCATGGTTCAATGCTGGAATTGTGGGTGTGAGTAGTACACCTGTCCTGAGGCTGGGAGCCCTGCATACAATATAAGAAAGGAGAAGGGGCTTGCTCTTCCTGCTTCCTTGCTCCTCCCTTTTGCTGTTGTTGCTTTTGCTGTTTTCTGCTACCATGAACTGTTTTCCTCTGCCATGTGCCACTCTGCCTTGGAGCCAGCTAAGTATGGACTAAAACCTCCACAAACTGTGAGCTAAATAAATCTTTCCTTCTTTAATTTTGGGCATCAGGTATTTTGTCTCAGCAAGGAGAAAAAAATAACCAAGACACCTTCCAAGGCTAAAAATAT